TTATTCAAAAGAAGCCGAAATAACCCCCACAGTATTCCTGTCCATCCTTACTTGTCAGCACTGGAACCACAAGGCCCTAGATTACATGTGGTCAGTCATCCAGAAACACACACATTGTCTGCATACCTGTGCCTCTGCCCATTGCTTTTCACTTCTCTAATGACACTGAATGTGTCGTTCACTTCTCCATCTGTGAAGACAAAAAGCTGAACACAGAAGACATTGGTCAAGGTCTATGAAGTTCACCTTTTCTTTTTTTAAGTTCATTTTTAAAATACCGCAATTTGCCCTTGAAAAACTCGACTATTTCATGCCGGAGACACTGATGCCTCTTCGGACACGTGTGAAATCCCTATGGGCCACTGTCACTTGCATCAGGTTTTTACATGGTTTTGGGCATTTTCCTCACCCTCCCAGTCTCACCTCAGGCCTCTGTGGCATTCCACAAGAGAGCTTCCACCTCCACAGTTTGGAGCATGGAGCTAAGGAAGAGGGATTCTATGAAATGCCTTTTGTGTTTTCCCCTTTACTACGCATACCATATTGGGACAATCCTACAATGAAACTCAGGGCTATACATTCTGGAACCGAAGTTGAGTTCTCTCTCCCCCCTTTCTGTGAGCTCTGTTCCTATTCTTACCTGGAGAGGGTGGCCTGGGATGGAAGTTCTACTGTAAATGGCCTTGAGTGGTTCCAAGATTTCTGTGCCCCCGAGGTCAGCGTCCATACTCTTAACTCTCTTCAGGGCCTGCTCCATGGTATCCTGAGTGTACTTCACGCTCTCCCTGAGTAAAGCAAACACATGCAGGGACAGAGCTAGCTGACACTGCCCAGTATCGCATCCCCCGCATTGAGATCCCCACCACTATAAACAACCTCACCTGAACTCCCCAATGTCAAGGTCAACTCTACCGTAACCCCTTTAACAATATAGTCCTTTCTTTAGAGCAGCGGTTCTCAACCTGTGGGTCGCCACCCCTTTGGCGGTCGAACGACCCTTTCACAGGGGTCGCCTAAGACCATCCTGCATATCAGATATTTACATGACGATTCATAACAGTAGCAACATTACAGTTATGAAGTAGCAACGCAAATAATTTTATGGTTGGGAGTAAAAACATGAGGAACTGTTTTAAAGGGCCAGAAGGTTGAGAACCGCTGCTTTAGAGGCTCTTTTTTTTGAACTCTCTGTAGCCTTTCTAGAAACTTACGGAAAGAAGGACTCAAAGGACGATCCAAATCCAAAGATGTTGAAATAACAGCCTACAGGCAAACTCTTCAGCAGCCAAATCAGTGTTTCCTGCAGGAAGAGAGTATGGGGAGCGAGTGAGAGAGGATCCTTGAAGACACACAGACCCTCCCCATCTAACTCCTGCGGGTGTGGGCCTTCACCCAGAGCGCGCCTCCCAGTCTTATAGTCCTCGCAGTGGTCACGTGAGCTGCAGTGCAGCTGGAAGCACTGATCCAGATGACCCAGATGGACTCTAATTTAACCCCCGAGACTCACCCTTACTTGCGCACATGATCAGAAAAAGAACTAGTCTTACCTTGGCTGCCTGTATGCGCAGCTGAGATGGATTCTGATTATTCATGGGACAATGCATACTTCCCGAGCGGTCCATGAGGAAGACGAATTCTCCACATGCAGTTGGTGACTGAGCCTCTGGGATATTCGGGTAGAAACTCACCATCGCAGATGGATCTCCCATCAAAGAATCTACTCAGAAAGAATAAGGACACCAGGAGATGAAAAGGAACTAAAAAAATACATACTGTTGTGGGAGTACTTCTTGGGCACACAAGGGGGAGCTCGCCCAAAGGGAAGGACAAAACCAGGCAACTAATGTACAAAGACAGAGCCTGGAGCTTCAGGGAACAGGAGCTGGAGCAAACCTGGCTGAGGCTGGGACCCCCTCTAACAGGTTTAGCCTGGACGGCCTGCCCTGGGGGGGCTGGTGGGGGGGGTGGGGGGATGGTTAAACAAGTGAAGGCCAATTAAGGAGTTCCAATTTGTGAGCTGGAGTGTGAAGTTACCTTGGCCAAACGTCAACAATGAGATAAGAAAAATGGCCGATTGAAGATCAACTATAGCTACTTATCTTTAAAGCAGTGGTAGCTATGGAAGTAAGAGCCTAACCCAAGACACTGTGTTTTGACTATGATTGTCCCCAAGGAGGCGTCATTCCACCAAAGTGGGAAATGCTTCAGAAGTGTCAATATCTTTCCAGTGACCCTTCATGATCTCTGTAGTCCAGGGCCATGGCAGCTCAGGGAGGCCCCAAGACAGTGGTCCCTGACATGTGTTACACCAGTACAGTTAAAAGAAGAAGTACAGCCCTGACTGGTTTGGCTCAGTGGATAGAGCGTCGGCCTGCGGACTGAAGGGTCCCAGGTTCGATTCCGGTCAAGGGCAATTGCCTTGGTTGTGGGCGCATCCCCAGTTGGGGGTGTGCAGGAGGCAGCTGATCGATGTTTCTAGCTCTCTATCTCTCTCCCTTCCTCTCTGTAAAAAATCAATAAAATATATATTTTTTTTAAAAAAAGAAGAAGAAGAAGTACACAGCCCAGCCCTTGTGGCCTGGTGTTTGAGCAGCGACTTAGGAACCAGGAGGTCATGGTTCACTTCCTAATGAGGGCACATGCCCCTGTCGTAGACTCGATTTCCAGTAGGTGTGTAGGGGGCAGCAGATTAATGATTATTCTCATCATTGATGTTTCTCTCTCTGTCTCTCTCTCTCTGTCTCTCCCTTCCTCTCTTTGAAATCAATAAAAACAAATAAACAACAAAAAAAATAACAGGAAAAGTAGATATATACTAAGGAAAACTTGGAAAATAAGATAAATTAAAGAAATTTAAAAACTAAACCTAGTAAGAAACTAAACTTAGGCTTAGAAATTAAGAAACTAGGTTAAGATAAAAAAAAAAAAAACCCTGAAGATGGATAAGGGTGATATTTACAACATGGTGAATGTACTTAAGGCAACAGAGCTATATCTTCAAAAATAATTATAATGGTAAAATTTCCGTTATGTACATTTTATACCCAAGTATTAGTTTTCTTTTTACTTAAAATTTATGTCAGATAAATTTTACCACAATTAAAAAAAGAACAAAGAACTCTAGGTGAGATTACATGTTGGAATGATAAATCAATCAATAAAAGTTATTTATTAGGTAAAACAAAAAATTTAGAATGTAAAGTTAGCCTTAATCTAATCATAATTACTATGTGCATATTTCCTGTGGTTTTAAATGTTTTTCTTAATTGACAGGTTATTTTTTTATAGCAATCTGTTTGTATAACTTACTTTTCTTTAACTTAATCCTCGTTGGAAGGCTTTTTTTCTATATTATTTAAATCTGTCAACATATATGATTTTGGTAGCTGCATAATAACTCATCAAGTAATCCCAGCATAGTGAATTAAGTTACTGTGAGACATTGTGATTATTTACTAATCTTTGATATTATGAAAATGGCCATTTTAGTGTATATTTTTACTTACAATTAAATTTATTTCCTTAGGTAAGATTCCTAAAATTGGAATCACTAAAATGAACATTTCTTTTGACACATATCGCCAAATCTCTTCTCCAAAGTTTGATTCCAAATTATTTTTGCTTAAAGCAATCTGTGAGAGTGCCAAATTCACCTCACCTTTTAAAGCATGAGGTGTTCCCAGATTTGGACATCTTTGATTATTTGAAAAGTGAAAAAATCACATCATTTACTTTTATATATACTTGTAGAGGCTGATCATTGTCCCATATTTTTAAACTAGCTGCATTTCCCTTGTAAATTTTTTTTCATGTCCTTTGTCTAAGTACCTACTAATTCACCAAAATTTACATATAAGACATAGTCACATGATATTCAATATGGAACCATTTCTGTATGCCATAGTATAAACTAGTCCCCCCCCCTTTTTTTTTTACCCTTTACTGAATAGAAAAACAAAAAGTGAGGGTAATTTGAGGGTAATTCAACGACCTTAGGCGGTAACTACAAAGGAAGAAGCAACATACCGAGCTTTGCTGCGGGCACCCCCATCTCCACAGCCACGCTGGGGGTATGCACCTCACTGTAGTAAACCAGGAGCTCCACATCTCGATCAAATTTGTGTCCGTCAGCCAAGGAGATCTGAGTTGGGAGCAAGCAAAGAAGCCATGTTAGAACCATCGTGCCTCTGCCTAGGGCTGAGGTCAGAGCTGAGGTCAGAGCTGAGGGCTACCGGCTCCTTCCATGCGTAAACAGAGCCAGGAGCAAGGGCGAGAACAGGCAGGAGGCTCTGGAGATGAAATAAGGATAAAGAAGGGGCCCAGCCCTAGCCAGTTTGGCTCAGTGGATAGAGCGTTGGCCTGGGGACTGAAAGGTCCCGGGTTCGATTCCCAGTCAGGGCACATGCCTGGGTTGTGGACTTGATCCCCAGTAGGGGGCGTGTAGGAGGCAGCTGATCAATGATTCTCCCTCATCATTGATGTTCCTATCTCTCTGTCCCTCTCCTTTCCTCTCTGAAATCAATAAAAATATATTAAAAAAAAGAAGGGGCCCAGTGCGATTCCCCCGGGGTTAACAGGGGAAAGTTAGCGATATTTAGGAGATGGAGGGAGGTAGATCAGGACCCAAAAACAGGGGTGCTGGCAACCACAGCGTGTGCTCACTAATTACCTGAGCAGAAGTCTTATCGTCAAGGTACTCAATAGGATTCACGGGGGAGCTGCACTGGACACTCTTGATGGCATGCTGGGAGCTGACGGTGGCAGCCAGGCTGAGTGTGTAAGGCACGTCCTTCGAAGGGACTGCAGGAGTCTTCATTTGAAGGCCACCGCCCTCAGACCCTCCTATGGAAAGTGAGCTCAGTGGTGTGTCCCCTCCCCACAATGTTTAGCCCCCCGACAACCCTGAGGGGGGTTTTCCCCACTAGTATTTGAAGAAAGAGTCTACTCACTGGAGAGTTGGTAGCGAGGGTTCAGGATAGCGGGGAGCACATAGCGCAGGGCCCCGTCTGCCTCCAGAGGCAGCTCCTGCACGTACTTCAGGGTGAGTGCTGCCTTCGACCCGGGGGGCAGGTTCCCCACGTTACAAGAGAAGATGTCGCCAGCCTGATCGTCCTCCTCCAACAAGAAGGCTTGGTGGCCCTGGCTGATGGCATTCTCGTAATTGGTGCGGGCCTAAGGAGGACAAGGGAAGACGATGACATGACATGAGAGGGGACATGCTTGAGGAGGAGAGAAGTGGCACAGGAAGCAAAGACTGGTGGGGTGAGCCTGTGATGGGTCTTGCCAAGTTCACAGCCAAACCCTGAGAGCCTTCGATGGGTGTTTCCCTCCAATAGTTTGAGGAAAATTATCGGTTGGAGGGGAGTAGAGCACAAAGCATTCGACATCAACATTTCTGGGAAGTTGCATTTGATAGGGACCCTAAAGAGCATGCATTATGGGAAGGTAGGGGAGAGAGTGGGTAAGAGGGAAAGATCAACCAAAGGTCTCATATGCTAGCATATAGTCCTAACCAATGGACACAGACAACAGGGGGGTGAGGGCATGAGTGGGGAGAATGAGGGGTCATGTGCGGATAAGGACACGTATGTAATAACTTAATCAATAAAAAAATTTTAAAAAAGACTATGCATTATGGGCATAAAAAGGGAAGAAGGAATATACTCATTCCCAGTACCTCAGACTTCTCCTGCAATTCTGCCACAATTTTCTTCCCATCCACCACGGCCTCGAAGCTGTGGACAGCTGAGTCTTCGTCCATGGGGAAAACAAAGAAGGCCTCCAACGGATCTTTGCCCTCATTCTCATAGTTCAAGGTAGCAGACACACCGGCCACAAACTCACGAATGGACAAGGTCACCGAGATGCTCTTCAGTGGCACTAGAGATAGACCAGAGTTCAAGTGGTCACCAACCTTCACAGAATGCCTCCCACCGCGCGAGGTGACATAGGTCCAATGGCAAATCAGAGTCACATGTCAGGTTTACCTGGCTCCTTTTGGCGGGTTAGCAGGCCGTAGCAGGGAGGGGACACCATGGTGACACAGGGTTACTGTGGAAAAGACAGATCATGAATGGAGCGCCATGGTGGGGATTACCTATCCAAACACCAATACCGATGGGCTTCTCTCTGGCATCAACATCTATTCAGAGGGTTAATGGGGGACCCAGGAAGGAGAAAGAAGTGGAACAGAAGGGGATAAAGGTGTCCATAGCAATGCTCCTTCTAAATGCCAGACCCTGGTGGAAAGCTAGACAGGAAACCTCAACGAAGGCTGGTTCAAGCGCCAGGTCCACTTTTTTCGGAAGTGTTTTTATTATACCACTTTTTAGGTATATTCAGTGAATGTAATGAACCCCTCTGAACCTCAGTATTTCTAAAATGAAAATCATATGTCTATGCACAGATGAATGAAGATAGATGAAGTCCTAGGAATGGGGCCTGGCCCATATGATGATAGACATGAGTGCTGTTCTTGTCGCTGTTGTTAAATAGACCGGGGCTGTTACTCTTGTAGGTGGCCGTTAGACAGACCTGAGCAGAGCAAGGAGGATGGGCCAGGTGCAGAAGGTCACCAGGGCGGAAGGCCCCAGTCCTAGCCATGGACATGTGTAGGGTAGAATCTCGTCCTCGGAATGACCTTTCCTCCCCTCGCATACCCTGGTCATTGGGGTTTAGACCCCTGACCTTTCCTCCCCGGAGAGAACATCTAGGCTTCAGGTGTATTTCATTCAGTTCCAGGCCCAGAAAAGCAGCAAAACCTGGCAAGCAGCACCATGGCTGACCTCGGGACCAGCTGCACTGAATAATAACCCCCCTGCCCTGACACTGATCAATCAATCAGTGGAGACCACAACCCTGAAAGGACACACCTGGAAAGCTGCGGAATGTTCTATTGAGATCTGCCCCTGGATCGCCCCTAAAAACTCCACCCCTAAAACCCTTAGAATGGAGGACCCAGCAGAGGCTCCCTCCAGGGAGCCAGCCCCTGCCTTTCCCTTCCTCTTCCGTTCCCCATCCCTCCAGACGCATCACCTTGACCTTCCTCCCTTCAAAGCTCCATGGGCCTTTCCTTTGCCTCCATCCCTTGTTTCCTAAGCCCGTTTCTCCTGGGAACTACCGCTACCTCTGTGCTTTCCCAAATAAATGTTATCTTACAGGTTGAGTCTCTGCCCTGCACGTAAGACGTTGCCTGATCCAAAATGGACTTCTGCAACTTAGATCACGTACCTTGTGACTTTTCTTTTGGGTCTCGTTATTGAAACCAGTTTGTTCTCTCTGTCCAGGCGATCACTATATCATATAACCAACATGCCCTCTATTTTAAATCAAAACATGTCTTCCAAATTTCATTATAATCTCAGACAACCATTTCATGTGATATGGCAACAAAATATTATGTCCATGGGTTATAATTTATGTTATTCTTTTTTTTAAAGTATGTTTTTATTTATTTCAGAGAAGGAGATAGAAACATCAATGATGAGAGAGAATCACTGATCGGCTGCCTCCTGCACGCCCCCTACTAGGGATCAAGCCTGCAACCCGGGCATGTGCCCTGACCAGGAATTGAACTGGTGACCACTTGGTTCCTGGGTGGACGCTCAACCGCTGAGCCACACCTGGCCGGGTGTGGCTTTTTTTAAATCCAGAGAATCAACAGGTGGGTCTGCTCCTAGTCATTGGCCCTAGTCTCACTAGGACAGCCGTGGGCAAAAAAAAAAAAAAGACCGTACCCTTTTATGTAATGATGTTTACTTTGAATTTATTTTATTAGTTCACACAAACACTCCATGCATGCTTTTGTTCCAGCCCTCCGGTCCAGTTTAAGAACCCATGTGGCCCTCGAGTCAAAAAGTTTGCCCACCCCTGCACTAGGAGCTGCCCTCCAACCATTCGAACGGAGTTTTCTGTGAGCTTGCCTCCCCCTGCTCAGTCAGAGGGTGGTGACCACCTACAAAAGTAATACCCACTGTTTATTTTCAGTAAAAATCCCCTACTGGGTTCTGCAATCTCCAGAACCAAGTAGGGGATTTTTACTGAAAATAAAGAGTAAGTAACATGTAGTTGCCTGGTACACAGAGAATGTGGAAGAGAAATGAAACTACTGTGTATATTCCGAGCAGGGGCAGAGGAGTCACTGGGAATCTGAAACTTCATCCAGGAACCTACAGGCCAGAGAAGCAGGCAGGTTCTTGAGAAAGATAATTTTCCTTCCTGGAACCACACCCACCTCTTCAAGGATTCTGTAGCTTTTGGCAGGACTATTTCTAGGCCTTTCTGTGCTCATCACAATCACCATTTAAACATCACACCTGGCCCTAGCCAGTTTGGCTCAACGGATAGAGCGTCGGCCTTGCGGGCTGAAGGGTCCCGGGTTGGATTCTGGTCAAGGGCACATGCCTGGGTTGCGGGCTCGATCCCCAGTAGGGGGCGTGCAGAAGGCAGCGGATCAATGATTCTCCCTCATCACTGATGTTTCTTATCTCTCTCTCCCCGCGCTCCCTTCCTCTCTGAGATCAATAAAAGTATATTAAAACAAACCAACACCACACCCTACTCCAAGCCAGAGCAATGGCCATTGCTCACCCAGCTGACTGCAATGGTTTCTGATACACCATGCCCCCATACCTACAAATCAGCGCCAATACGGCAGGCTTGTTGTTTTGCGTCTGTTTTTGTTTTGAGGGATTGAGTAAAAACAGATGGTGGCAAAAAGGCTCACACTGGCTAAACCACAGAGGCGGTCCAGGCTGTGGGGAGAGGAACGCAGGCTCAGCGAGAGGGTTTCCATGCACACATCTGATAGGGCCCTTTCTCGGGTCCCACAGGCTGGGGCTGAGCTAGGAAAGAGTTTCTAGGAACGCCAGCAGGGAGCTTACTGCCTGAGAAGGACAAGGATACAGGGGCACAACAGCTGGAGAAACCGGAGGGCGACCCAATCTGTAAGGGTGGGCAGTACTCACCAAGGGCGGCTTTCTGGTGAAGAGACAGAGGGAGCAGTGGCTGAGTGTCTCCTGCAAAGAAACAGGCTTGTCTCCAGACTCTAACCCCAGAACAAATCCCTCCCAGGGGAGGTTTGCTCTTCTGCAGCCTCGCCCCCACCCTTCCCAGACAACCTATGCTGAGTCAGAACTCCTTCCCCCTCCCTCCCCAGGGCACTTGAGAATTGCAGCCAGCAACAGGGAGCAGGCTGTCCACAGCAGCTGATGGGGCTCAAAGTTGAATCCGAGGCTGGGAGAACAGAGGGAAGGGTCAGTGAGTCAGGTGCCGGGAATCCAGGCGCTGCCCTGGGCGAGGGGGGCGCTGGTGGGGCAGGGGCCACAAAAGGGCCAGTGGAGAACCTGGAGTGGGCCTTCCCCGGGGCCATCGGGCCATAGGGGTGCAGTGCAAGGCTGGGCTAGAGACCGGGAGTGGCCCTGCCAGGTTTGGCTTAGTGGATACAGCATCAGCCTGAGGTCAGGTTACATGTCAGGGTTGCAGGCTCGAGCCCCAGTAGGGGGCGTGCAGGAGGCAGCTCATTGATGTTACTCTCTCCCTTTCCCTTCCTCTCTGAAATCAATATATATATATATATATTTAAAAAATAAAAAGAAACCGGGAGTGATTTAACCTTTAAATTTTCAGTCCAGGGAGTCACAGAAGGTATCTGAGCTGGCCCCTTGAATTTCTATAGTGTGTCCCAAAATTCATGCAAGTTTTGCAATTGAATTGAATTGCAAATCTTGCGTGAATTTTGGGACACCCTATACTGTATATAGAAGGGTGCAGCGGTTCTCAACCTGTGGGTCGCGACCCCTTTGGCGGTCGAACGACCCTTTCACAGGGGTCGCCTAAGACCATCCTGCATATCAGATATTTACATGACGATTCATCACAGTAGCAACATGACAGTGATGAAGTAGCAACGCAAATAATTTCATGGTTGGGTCACAACCTGAGGAACGGTATTTAAAGGGCCAGGAGGTTGAGAACCACTGGTAGGGGCTGCAGTACGGTTTGGATGGGGCGGCCCGGGGGGAGGTCTGAAGCTCCATTTCCACACGTAAATTTACATCAAATGGAGGAACTATGAATTTTCCGCATGAAGGGGAGGGAGAGAGGGAGAGGGAGGTAAAGTGAAAGAGAAAGTAGAGAACGGGGCCTTGGGATGATTAGGAGATGACAATTCCCACTTCCAGCCCCACAAGATGCCCCTAACCTGCCGCACCTGCACCCCCTTCCCCCCAGTCCCGTGTCCCCCCACCCCATCGCACACCAGGACTAACTCCTGTACCCCTGGGGCTTGCAGCTAAAACAGACCCGAGCAGAGCTGGAGGTGGGAGAGGCAGGCAGCGGGCGCGGGTCTCAGCCCGGGTGAGCGGGGACCCCTCCCGGGCCACCTACCTGCTGGGCGCCGGGAACCTCTGCGTCACTCGGAGAGGGAAACACCCTCAGCCAGAAGTTCCGGGAAGACCCGCCCTCGCCTAGGGACCGGCGGTAAAGTGGCGACTCTGTCAGTGAGGGAGGGAGGGGAAATTCCTGCACCCACGGCCTAACCTTCTCTGGACTCCGGCTCCCAGGGAAGGTCTTCAGCCCCGGGGTCGTGCGCTCTTGTTTCTTTGCCTGATTCTCCAGGTTAAGGGACCATCAGGGGACAGGCGAAGGGAAGGGAAGGGCTGCTATTTTTTCCAATAACTGTATGTAATTGTATGAGCTCTATGTCATTGATTTATCTCTAATCTGAGTCATTTGTCCCAGATTGTAGATTGTATCCTCCCTCCCTAGGGCGTGGTGCTCTGTGTGTGTGTGTGTGTGTGTGTGTGTGTGTGTGTGTTGGGGGAAGGGAGAGAAACCAGGGCAATGCAGAGGGGGAATCAAGTCGTCCAGTTATGAATCACTTATGGGTTTTTCATCAGGATCTTAAACCTAGTTTTTTTTTTGTGGGGCTGTTTTTTTTGAGGGGGGCGGGCGGCAGGAACAATGTAAGTAACTTGTTTGGCTCCTCCTCTCACTTCCTGCTGTTCTCTCTCCATCAGCATGGAGTCTCACTTAATTCCTCTCTTCTGTTTGTTGTCTCTCCTCTGGTGTGTCCATGCGATTTGTCCAAGATTTCCTATTGTTCTTATCAGACATGCTTAAATGTATTCTTAAAGCATATAAGCCTTTTACGTAAATGAGACCCCACATGCATAGAATGATTTGATTCGTGAATAAGTGCATAGAAATATTGATAGTTGTGTGTATTCAGAGGCCTTGCAATTGCTATTCACTATAGATAGTGTAAGACAGATTTCAAAAAGAGCAAATGTCGGAAATGTACACAAATCTTCTAAGCATTTTTTTAAAATATATTTTTATTGGTTTCAGAGAGGAAGGGAGAGGAAGAGAGAGCGAGATAGAAACATCAATGATGAGAGAGAACCATTGATTGGCTGCCTCCCGCACGCCCCACACTGGGGATCGAGCCCACAACCCGGGCATGTGCCCTGACCGGGAATCGAACCGTGACCTCCTGGTTCATAGGTCGACGCTCCACCATGGAGCCACACCAGCCGGGCATAAGCATTTTTTTTCAGCTGACTTACTGGCGATAGCAATTACGATGAACAGCCACTATTTTCATATGATCACTGGTGACTTGCAAATGTTATGTTTGGACAGATCACATGAAAACTGAGCCCAACTGAAACTTATCACAGATAGATGGATAATAGATAAGAGGGGCTGAAAAAAATATCTACTATTGAGTACTATTAGAAATCAGAGCCAAATAATTCACATGGCCAGGCAAACGGCTTTTCTTTCAGACCGGAATGATGGCTGTCCTCACCGAGGAAAGCGTGAAGACAGCGGACATATACCATGGAGTCACGTAACCAAGCTGCTAAAATGATTAATGTTATGAAGATTGAGGCAGGAGGAAAGACTCCATTCTTTTTTTTTTTATTTTTTAACATTTTTATTGATTTCAGAGAGGAAGGGAGAGGGAGAGAGAGCGAGAAACATCAATGATGAGAGAGAATCATTGATTGGCTGCCTCCTTCACGCCCCACACTGGGGACCAGGCCTGCAACCCTGGCATGTGCCCTGACTGAGAATCGAACCGTGACCTCCTGGTTCACAGCTCCATGCTCAACCACTGAGCCACACCATTCTTATTCTAACCAGCCTGGGAATTGAAAAAAAAAATTTATTTTTTAACTTTCCAGTCCTGCATCCATGCCTGGATAGACAGCCCCCTGCAGGATTCACCTACCCTGGCCACCTGTTACCTCCCATCCATTAACCCAACTACCAGATGTGACCAGACCTCCGGGAACCACCTTCCAGTCCAGCTGGCGTTGATGATACTGACGGCCTGTCATGTGCCTGACGACTGTCCTGCACCAATCGCAGGGCTAAGAATGCAGAACCGCTTACTCAAACATGTACTCTTTGCTCTTCGTGTTACCAGACAGGGGCGGGCGGGCCTGGAGCAGGTCTGACTCAGACCGGCCTGTGGTATGTGGGTCCTTGACTTCCTGTAGGAAAGATTTCGCAACACGAGGTCCAGATGCGTTTGAGAGTACGTCTATGAAAGCTGAGGACAGGGAAACAAAGGAAGAAAGTGGGGTAAGAGAAACAACAGAATCCCCGCACAGTCGTTATCCTATCAGCCCTGTCTGTTGACTGAGCCTAAATGGTCGGAAGCCTACGAAGATGCCTTTGTAAACAACTGGGCGGCTCCAGAGTCGGGCGCCACCCAGTGGCCATGCATTTTTTCTTCAACAACATCCGCATCAAAACAAACGGACTTTGGGTCCCCACCTCTCTCTCATTGGAAGCTGACAAAAGTAGTGGGGGGCGGTAGGGGGGGGGGAGATATAAAAAATAATAGGAGAATGCTGGCTTTCCTCCACAAACAGAATCTCTGTGGAGACTTCATACTGTAAGACAATAATAACCAAGTAAATCAATGGCATTGATAGATTGGGATGATGCTATTCCAGTTCTAATTATCCCATGCACTCAGATGCTTAATCTAAACCCAGAACATTGGTTGTGTCAATTTTTTATTAGAATAAAATTTAAATTAAAAAAAATCAGACCCCCCCCGAAAAAAAAGGTTTCAGAGTTGAAGTATCTCATTGTATTAGGATACAAATTTTTCCAATTGTTTGCAAAGATGAAATATCCCTTAGGACATAACGTCACTCACTAAATGCTACGACTGACATAATACAACATAGCTGCTAACTCTCAACAATGTATTTTATTTTTTTAAATTTATTTTTATTGATTTCAGAGAGGAAGGGAGAGGGAGAGAGTGATAGAAACATCAATGATGAGAGGGAATCCCCCCCCCAAATAATTACCGAGTATGCAAGGCATTTAACCAGAGTTTTCAACGGATGCCAAGTAGTATAGGGTAGTCAGTGATGGCGAACCTTTTGAGCTCGGCGTGTCAGCATTTTGAAAAACCCTAACTTAACTCTGGTTCCGTGTCACATATAGAAATTTTTTGATATTTGCAACCATAGTAAAACAAAGACTTATATTTTTGATATTTATTTTATATATTTAAATGCCATTTAACAAAGAAAAATCAACCCAAAAAATGAGTTCGCGTGTCACCTCTGACACGCGTGTCATAGGTTCGCCATCACTGGGGTAGATACTTCAAATGACAGCTCTAAATTAGTTTAGGCTTCTCAGCAATAGGCCTTTTTTGTTTCTTCCCCCTTTCTCCTGGCAAAGAGGCCGTTTCCTTATCTTTTGGAGAACTGCCCATCTCTGTTCCGCTGCACTCTGTACCCTGATCACAGAGGTTGCCATGCGACCCAGCCAAAGACATCAGATAGGCATCTGGAGCTGAGGCAACAGGAGGGAAGGCAGCTGAGGCTGAGTCATCTGAAGGCAGTGCCCCCAAGGCTGCCCCCTAAATCCTTACTGCTGACCACACCCCCCAATCCATCCTAGTGCCCATCCCTCCATAGGCCTAATTCCTATCAATTTACAACCACGGAACTCCTAATAATGAACATGGAGAATGTGGATGCTACGAAGATGATTTTCGTTCATGTGTTTGATGTCTGCTTCAGACACAGAGGCGCTGTTTTCCAAGCCAAATCACCATGTAATTTTGAGTCTTTTAGTTCTAACAAGAAGAAACGTTTGAACATGAGACTAAGTCCAAAGCATTTTACATTTTTTAAAGTCTCTAATAATCAGTATGGCCAGAGCATGCATACATTTTGACCAGGACGTGCCCCCACCCAATTATAAAGTCAGAGGTATAATCTTACCGTATTCGTGTGGCAGGTAAATGGAGATGAGTAAGTACGAGGCTCACTGTCCTAAGGGGTTAACTAAAAGGTGTACAGCATGACTCTGTTTTTCTGACTGTGGGCAAAATTAATATAAAAGCCTATCTCCTTCTCCGTGGTAAAATGGGTGGGCATTTTCAAAACGGGTATTATCATATCTTTATTCAAAGCTAGCAGCAAGATATTTTCAAGGTAATTTATTCTCACAATTTCAGTACCCATATGATTAAAAATGACCAGGGACATGCAAATTAGATGAAAGGAGACCTATAGAAAACCCTAAGGATTCAGTGTCACTCTGTCCATCTAGTTTACCCACAGACAGCAGGGAAAGCCATACTAAAATTTTGACAATATGATTGAAATGTGTGCAGCGACAGTCTGAAGTGGTCAGGTGTCCCACTAATAGCACTTAAGACGATTAGATGTACCTAGAAGAAAGGGACTCACTGGAGAGAAACATCAGTGAATAAGACATATGATACTTTTTATGTTCCCAAATGGCTGCCCACTGGCTGTTGATTTACATATTTGATGCCATGGTCATGGAGTATTTGAAGTCATTAATAAAATATGCCAAGTCATTCACAGTGTCAAGCAGAACTAAAAATCAATGCAGAAGAGCAAGGCCATTCTAGGCAGCCTCCTGCATAATAATGAAACATCACTATCGGAAGCCGTACTGAGCTGTACTCAGCACTAAAGTACAACCCAGGATCACCGATGTTCTTTCTCTTATGTTCAAAGATGCTGGGGGGAGTCTGCAAGAATTGTTTGCCATTACAAGTCCGCTTCTACCCATCCGGCATGGCTCTAAACTTACCCAAGACTTGCTGACAAGCGGGGCTTAAATCTGAGCCCATGGGGACATTCTTCATGTCCACTACAGCTTTTAAATTTTTTAAAAAATTTTCTCCTAACTTTTCATTCTTTCATGTATCTCAAATATTTCTTACAGGATACAGTTTGTTATTTTTTTTAAAGTTCTTTGATAAGGTTCTATTAGTGGTAAAAACCCTATCTGCAAATGTTATTTCACATTCTTGGTAGTGGCATAGCATACAATTCTTGATTGACAGTCATTTTCTCACACTCTGCACTTTATATAGATCTACCTATCTATCTAGAGATCATTATAAAGTGCATCCATGTTAAGGATCTATAAACTGTTAAGATACTTTTTATTAAGGATGACTTACTAATAGCAATTTTCGTAAGTCATCTAGATCTTAAAGCTATTTTACTAGGTGCACTTAAATTTAGCATTTTAATATTTTCCTGTTAAATGGGCCCTTTCATCTGTATAAAACGACTTTTGTATCTCTCAATTCCTACCTTAACATTCACTTAACCTAAATTAACATAGACATACCAGAATTTTTGTGGGCTTTTTTTTCTCAGTATTTTTGTGGCATAAATTTTCCACTCCTTTTTTTTGTTTTTCTTAAAAAATTATTGGATTTACTGGGTGACATTATTTAATACAATTATATAGACTGATCATGGGGAACAATTCCTAAACTTTATAAATGTCTAATCACTACGCTGTACACATGAAACTAACAGAAAATAATACTTACTGAATGCCAACTGTAATTGACAAAAAATAAAGCAAATAGGGCAAATTGGTAACATTTCATAAAGTGGGATGATGTGTACACAGGTTATTGTACTATTCTGTATTCTTTGTGGATGTTTGAAATATTTCACAAAATAAACAAAACCCCAAAGGTATGATATATGACTCTAAATCCTTGTGACGTACACGATGAACAATACAGCAAACATTCGTTATGCAACATTTATTACATTTTTAACAAATGTTATTAAATGGTGACATCCAATAGAAAGAAGTAGTTCAGCAGGGAAGGGAATTTTTTTTTTAAAGCCATATTCTGGGTTTTCTGACAGATGTCAACCAGGTCACAGTCATTTACAGACAACGCGGTTGCACATCCGCCCAGAAACAGGCACAGGAAAAGGTTTTCATTGAGATGAGCACGTAGGAGTGATGGACGATCAAGTCACATGGCCCAGGTTACCCGGCGTTTTTGCATTTGTGAGGCCTTCGGGAGCCTATCTTCCTTGGATGGATCAGAGGGCACCTGGACAATGCTGGGTAGAATGGGGCTGCGCTCTGGTAATGAAATCACTTGGATAGAACTCCCAGACTGCCGTCTCATGTCACTGTCTCGGCCAAAGTTTTCCATGGTGGATTCCGAGGCACTGTTCTTCATGACCCGCTGGTACTCTAGGAGAGAGAAGAGTCCTGGGGAAGAGAGAAACCGGGGGAGGGCGCTAGAGGAACAGTAGATGTTTCATGAAATAGTCAAGAAATATTTCCCTCTGCGTTGACAGAGAGACGCTGACCCAAAGCCCAGGGGGTCTCTTTTGAACCGCCCCAAGGAATTTGGAAGGAGGTCCAAATGCTTCGGTGGGACAGACCAAAACTGGATGCAGGAGAGTTCAGACACTTCTCAACGAAACAAGATTGAGGATTCTTTTTGAAAAGGGACATGCCTCTGAGTTAGGAATTTCTAAATGAAATTTTAAAACTCTTCTAGAGCCATTCGTCGGTTTGGCTCAGTGGATAGAGGTCGGCCTGCGGACCAAAGGGTCCCAGGTTCCATTCCGGTTAAGGGGCATGTACCCTGGTTGCAGACTCCTCCCGGCCGGAGCCCTGGTCGGGGCTTGTGCAGGAGGCACCCCATCGATGTGTTTCTCTCACATCTGTGTCTCTCTCTGTCTTTCCCTCTCTCTCCCACTTTCCCTAAGAAAATCAGTCAATCAATGGAAAAATATCCTCGGTTGAGGATTAACAAAAAAACAAAAACAAGACAAAACCACCTTTAGAAGCAAGGGTCTCCAATGTTGGTGGCTGAACATTTAGTATTAGGGATTGCTTTTCTCTGATCTAAAACTGCCCTGGCATGACACTGCCCACCCACCTACGTGAACAGTCCATGTTATGCACGCTCTTTAGTCTTCCCTGAGATGGGGAGGATATGGAAGACGGTAGCAAAGGTGGAGGTAAGGAGCTGCCCTCTTAGGCCAGCACGTTGACCATGTCACCCAGTCCTGATCTCCAGCTCTATCTCTAGAGGAATTGTCATCCGAGAGCGAGTCCACTTGAACTTTACCCCCTTAAAATGCAAGGATCGGTCCTTTTTCCTTATTCCCTTTCCCCATCCTTTCACTCTCCCTCTCATCCCGGGTAGATTGGTTCTCGTTCCCCATCAAAGGCCCTTAAAACACTCACCAGAGGCAAAATGGAAGAAAATGCTAATGTAGGCCGTGGAAATGTTCCAGGTGAGATGATAATTAGAGTAGTACACGGATTTGCCTTGTCTTAGCTTTATGTGATACAGTAGGAGTGTGGTGAGCAGAAGGACACCTAGTGGCCAAACAAAAGGAGAAAAAAAAAAGCCCCTTTTGAGGAACCGTGATGCCTCCACCCATCTTAACCCCCAGAGGGGCCTAATTTCTAAGCCTCCACCCTGCATATATGCACCTCATCCACGTCCGTGGATGGTTCCATTCAGAAGCTGCATATCGGAGCCAAAAATCTGGGAAGGCCACATTAGTCAGAAATGACAGGCTGGGCTCACAGACCAAGTACAGTGCCAGGGAGGGGAGCCAGGGAGTCTTACCGGTGAAGCAAGTGAGGAAGACAGCCATGAAGATGACGCACGCAGTTTGAGGAATCATATAGGTGAATTCCAATCCCAGGAAGAAGTTATAAAAGTAGGAAAGGCTGAGGACTATAATCAGCATGACTCTGATCACTTCCATCTCACCTGTTGGAAAGCAGACGCTCTCTTGAGAGAAGGACAGATGTTTCTTCTAGGCTCATTTCCACCCAGGGGCCACACATCTCTAAGTCAAAATGGAAATGGGGCGGGGGGGGGGGCGATTGAGAGATGTGATTACATCATACAGACAGACGTGGGGGTGACGAAGAAGCAGGAAGCCATAAGCTGAATGGGAGAGAGGACCCACAGAAACCGTATCTATCTTGGTATCTCTGTAAGTTTCTTTTCTCCTCCTTCCCTTTTGCAGAACTCATTTCTTAGGAAATACTCGAATTTCTCCTGTTCACCTCGGCTGTCCACATAACCGACTTGCCTGGTTGCCCATTGCCTTTCTTTTATACCCTTCTGTTCTTGCTGTGCTGGGTCACCCTGCTGCTCCTGCCAAGACTTCTCTACTGGCCAGCCAGTAAGTCTGTGAACTTCAAAACATCTCCAAAACATTAGACATGGCGAGGTTTTTGAACTCTGCCTTGACTATATGGATTATGAAAGTGGGCCCACTGCAGCCTGAGGACATTGCACCAGAGAATAACGAGTAAGCTGGTAAGGTCAGTGGAAGTCAAGGAAAGGTGAGCCCTCCCTCTCCACCCATCTTCCTAGGGTCTCGTTCTTACCTTTGGGCCAAATAGTACTGTGTATCCATGGGCTGTGGCTTTTTATAGTTGCTCTGGTCTCAATATTTATTCTAACCCAGTCATTGACCAAAATCCCTACTGCCAAGAAGACTAAGGCCCAAGAAGAGATGAACATGTTGATGGCCTGGATAGCTCTAATTGAGAGGTGCATGGTGGCAAGCAAAGAGTTCGAGCGGAGACCACCACCAGTAGCTCACACGCCTTTCTTCTGATTTGATTCGTCGTCATAGGAAGAAGAGAAAAATCTAGACGTTTAGTGATCGCTGAGGCATTGGCTGTGGCAGAAGCTGAAAGAGCCTATGGGGCCACTCCTATATTGGGGCCAAACTGCTGTCAGGGACGCTAACTGTCATGGAATCATCGGTTGGTTTGACCCTAGACCCTGGGGCCTGGTTCAGTGGAAGGAACCAAGGGGCCCAGGAGTTCTGAGGAAGCTCTCAGCGATATAGGGAGATATGATACCACACGCAGAGATAATTATCAGGTACACGGATCACTAAAGGCCTGGAAATAACTGAAACATGCATGACTAAGGAGGTCTAATTTTGTTTTATTTTATTTTTTAATAATATATATTTTTTATGGATTTCAGAGAAGAAGGGAGAGTGGGAGAGAGAGATAGAAACATCAATGATGAGAGGGAATCATTGATCGGCTGCCTCCTGCACACCCCCTACTAGGGACTGAGCCCGCAACCCAGGCATGTGCCCTTGACCGGAATCGAACCCAGGACCCTTCAGTCCGCAGACCAACGCTCTATCCACTGAGCCAAACCAGCTAGGACAGGAGGTCTCATTTTAGAGTTAGAATGATAGGTTCCAGGGTTAGTTGATATTATAAGCGGGGATTAGTGAAGGGCAGTAAGAATTAAAGATCTTTGACACAAGTGTCAACTAGTAGCGTTAAAAAAAAAAAAAAGGGAATCACCATTCAAAATTTAGGATGTTTTGGAGAAATGTGGTTCCTCATTTGGGTAGCCTAAAGCAGTTTAATCAGGCGGGCATCTAGGAACTAGACCAGTGTCTTGAAACGGAAAGAAATGGACTGATACGCCAAACCAATATTGCATGCCAATATCATTTACTTATAAAGTGCAGATAATTATTTGTCAGGATTGCCTTTGTATCTAGGCAGAGAAAACATTTTTGATTCCTTAAAGTAAAGGCAACCATGTATACCCTAAGCTCAGAGTCAGAGCACTTGTACTTAAATAAAAATAAATAAATGAAAGCTTTTTCCTGAACTAAGATGAAAGTCACCTCCAAAACCTGTCTGCCTATTTCTTCAACCTCATTGCAGAACCTGGAATTGCTGGATTTCTTTCATTGTCTCAAACACACTATGTTGTCTTGCAGACCTCTGTACACATCTTATTACATTTTATATATCTTTCTAAAATATATATTTATTAATTTAAGAGAGGAAGGGAGAGGGAGAGAGAGATAGAAACATCAATGATGAGAGAGAAACATTGATCGGCTGCCTCCTGCATGCCCCCTACTAGGGATCGAGCCCACAACCCGGACATGTGCCCTGACTTGGAATCGACTATGACCTCCTGGTTCATAGGTCGACACTCAACCACTGAGCCACGATGGTTGGGCTTATAGCTGTTTAATTTTTTGAAATAATGCTCAATATATTTAATCTTACAAAGGAGACATTAATGAAATGGCCTCCGGATCCTGGTTTTAAATCCCGATTCTACCACTAAGAAGCTTGTGGTCTTAAAGATGATAATGCTTCCTACTACATAAGAATTTTGTAAGAATTAAATTAATTTAGAGACGTAAAGACGTCTTAAAAAGAGCTCCTGGCACATAGATGATACATAAGCAATGACCCTCGTCTTCATTTGGATTCCCTGGGAAGGAGATGCTAAGGTGGAGATTTGTGCCTGGGGAGTGGATTGGGAGTACACCCAGGAGCCACACCTGTTAAGTGCTTCAGAGAATCAGACTTGAGCAGAAGTTGAAATGAGATGCAGTTGCAACCCAAGGAGTGTTAGCCAACAGCTAACGCCCAGCGCTCTGGGTCTGGGGTGGTCCTTGGGAGCCATCCTGAATGAATGGAGCAAGAGAGTTGGTCATGGAATGCACGCTGCTCCTGGACAGTCCTTTATGTCTTGGGAACTGCACGCCTTCGCAGTCAGCACTTCTGGTGGCTGTGAGAGTGAGTGCTCGCCCTGCCCCACTCCTGTATCAGGGGCCAGCGTGCGGTTAGGACTTCCAGCCGCCATGGAGTTGTCTGTCGGTTTGACCCTTGACCCTTGTGGACTAGTGAAGCAGAAGTCCCATGTGGGGAATAGGGAGCACACTAAGACAACTTATGCTATTACCTGCTCACATATTGATGCTTATATATATATTTTTTTATATTTTATTGATTTTTTACAGAGAGGAAGGGAGAGAGATAGAGAGTTAGAAACATCGATGAGAGAGAAACATCGATCAGCTGCCTCCTGCACATCTCCTATTGGGGATATGCCCGCAACCAAGGTACATGCCCTTGACTGGAATCGAACCTGGGACCCTTCAGTCTGCAGGCCGACGCTCTATCCACTGAGCCAACCGGTTTCAGCTGATGCTAATATTGATTGCTATACAACAGAGCCCCAGGAGTAGGATTTCTAGGTGGAAAGATGGATGCCTCTAAAATTTAAAAAAAAAAATTTTTTTAATCCTCACTCGAGGATATTTTCCCATTGATTTTTAGAGAGAGTGGCAGAGAGAGGGAAAGACAGAGAGAAATATCAATGTGAGAAAAACACATTGACTGGTTGCCTCCTGCAGGCGCCCTGACCAGGGCCAGGGCTGAGGAGGAGCCTGCAACCGAGGTATGTGCCCTTGACCAGAATCAAACCTGGGACTCTTCCGTCTGCAGGCTGATGCTCTATCCACTGAGCCAAACCAGCGAGGGTTCCACTACTGCCCCTTGTTCCACCTCAGTTACCACCGTCTCTGCTTCCTTCCTCCTCTCTGCTCTTCCTCCTTCCCCTTCTCTCATGAGACCTTTCTACCATCCTTAACACAAAATTCAGTGCCATTTTCGTTTCTGTACTGATCTCAACACAAGGTTTGTAATAGAGCTCAAGCCGAATGGGAAAATGACTGACACACAGATTCCCAAAATCTGAAGCAAAACAACAATGCCTTTAGAACCTACCCGCAAATTTTTCTAAAACCTACTGTATTCGTTTTCTAGAGCTGCTGTAACCAAGGACCACAAATAGTTTTCTTCAAACAACAAAAGATTATTGTCTCACAGTCTGACTTCATCTGAATTTGTTGAAATTTGAAAAGACTCTATTTCCAAATAAGATCATATTATGTGTTGTTGGGATTCAGAACTTACTCATATCTTGCTCTGGAGGGCACAATTAAATCCATAATTTACTTCTTGTAAATTATTCAATAGCCCTGGCTTAGTTACGCTTTGTATCTCAATCGAGAATAAACTTGCTGTCAGCTAGATGGCAATGTTTTGTCTTATTTCCTGTAATTCCTGTGGGTTCATTTTAGGTTTAAGATAAATATTATTATAATTTTACTAGAGGCTCAGTGCACGAAATGTTGTGCATGGGGAGCAGGGTCCCTCAGCCCGGCCTGCTCCCTCTTGCAGTCTGGGACCCCTCGCTCCTTACCGCCCGCCTGCAGCGGAGGCAGGAGAGGCTCCCGCCACTGCCGCTGCGCTCACCAGCCATGAGCCTGGCTTCTGGCTGAGCGATGCTCCCCCTGTGGGGCCAGACTGACCACCAGGGGACAGCTTCTGTGTTGAGTGTCTACCCCCTGGTGGTCAGTGCATGTCATAGCGACTGGTCATTCCACCATTTGGTCACTTTGCATATTAGGTTTTTATTATATAGGATTTCCCCCAAGAGTATTTACCTGTAAATGGGAGATTATTTAATCCATAAAACTCCCAGTATTCTGGCAGATGGTAAATAAAATATGAGCCCTACAGGGGAGCATGGGCTTTGTAATTCCCAGGGGCTTGACCTGATCGAAAGAATCATCACTCAAGCAAAGGTCAGGGCATCTGTCTGATGCTCATGCTGATGAATTTCTCACCCATCCACCCTTTGGTCTCTTTTTCAAGCGTTCCCTTCTCTAGTGCAAGTCCAGTGATCACTTGTCAGCCCGTGATGAGGAGACTTTAAATGATGTTGATGGCTTCGCCTCTTTCCAATATCATTTATTTTTATTGTTTATAAGTGCCCACATGCCCCTGGCCTTTCACCACAAAGAAAATCAAGTGTGAAGTTAAGAGCAAGATTCATTGAGATTTCCCCAAGCAACACACAGAAAATGACCTTCATGATCAGCATAGGTAACGCTGCTGTACCTGTCCAACAATGTGTATTTTGTTGCTTTGCAAATAGCCTTGATAGTCCCTATGTAAATTAGTGCCTTGTCTCATGTTATTATGCATGGTTCCTGAAAAGGCAACAACTAGAATTATGAATGAACTTGGGTGGGGGG